CTCTATTGTTTTGAAGAGCTTGTAGAGGATTGGGGTTAGTTCTGTTCGGAATGTTTTGTAGAATTCTGTAGTGAAGCCGTCTGGGCCTGGGCTTTTTTTCGTTGGGAGATCTTTGATGACTGTTTCAATCTCTACCTCGGTTATGGGTTTATTTAATTCTGCAGTTGCCTCCGGACTGAGTTTTGGTAAGTGGTGGGAGTCCAAGAACTTTTCTATTTCTTGGTGGTCCTCAAATTTGTGGGAGTACAGTTCTTTGTAGTAATTTCTAATTATTTTCTTAATGATTGCAGTGTCTGTTGTTATGTTGCCTTTTTCATCTTTAATGCTATTGATTCTCACTTTCTCTTGTTTTTTTTTGGTCAATCGGGCCAGTGGAGTGTCTATTTTGTTTATTTTCTCAAAAAACCAACTTTTTGATTTGTTGATTTTATGTATAGTTTTTTTGATTTCTATTTGGTTTATCTCCTCCCTTGTTTTGATGATTTCTTGTTTCCTATTGTGCGTGGGACTCTTCTGCTGCTGTTTTTCCAGATCCTGGAGGTGTGAGGTTAGTTCCTGTATTTGGCGTCTTTCTTGGGCCTTGACATGTGCTCCGATTGCGATGAATCTACCTCGTAGCACTGCTTTGGCGGTGTCCCACAAGTTTTGGAATGTTGTATCAGAGTTTTCATTGGTTTCCATAAATTTTTTGATCTCATCTTTAATTTCTTCTCTGACCCATTGTTCGTTTAATAGCATATTGTTCAATTTCCAAGAGTGCCTATACTTCCTGGGGAGTTTTGAGTTGTTGATTTCCAGTTTCATCCCATGGTGGTCTGAGAGGGTACATGGTATGATACTAATGTTTTGGAAGTTGTTTAGATTCGCTTTATGTCCTATCATGTGGTCGATTCTGGAGAAGGTGCCATGCACCGCTGAGAAGAATGTATAGTCTGTGGCCTTAGGATAAAAAGTTCTATATATGTCTACTAAGTCCAGTTGTTCTATTGTTTGTGTGAGCTCTGTTGTTTCTTTGTTGAGTTTTTGTTTCGTAGACCGGTCCATTGTTGTTAGAGGTGTGTTGAGATCGCCTACAAGAATTGTGCGGGTGTCTATGTCTTCCCTTAAGTCTGTAAGTAATTGCTTTACGTAAGTAGGTGCATTAAGATTCGGTGCATAAACATTAATGATGGTGATTGCTTCTTGATGGATCATTCCTTTCACCAGTATAAAATGGCCTTCCCTGTCTCTTTTGATGTTAGTTAGAATGAAATCTATCTCGTCTGAAATTAGGATAGCTACCCCAGCTTTTTTTTCTCGTCTATTGGCGTGAAATATCTTTTTCCATCCCTTCACTTTCAGTTTCTTTGCATCCTTTCTGGTTAGATGCGTTTCTTGTAGGCAACAGATGGTTGGGTCTTGTTTGATGATCCATTCTATTAATCTCTGTCTTTTGATTGGTGAATTTAGACCATTTGTGTTGAGAGTTAAAATTGAGAGGTTGCAATTTTGCCCTGCCATGTGATTGTGTTGTGTGTGTGTTGTTGCCTATGTAATTGTCTTGTTTGTGCGGCCTTTAGTTTGGAGACCTTCTTATTTGCCAACTTTGTTTGTGATTTGCCTCCTTTTTGTCCGGGACTAGCGCATTTCTAAGGAGACTTTGCAGAGCTGGTTTTGTGTAGACATATTCTTCTAGTTTTTCTTTGCTATTGAAGTATCTGATTTCGTTCTCATATACAAATGAGATCTTTGCTGGGTAGATTATTTTTGGTTGACAGTTGTTTTGTTTCAGGACTTGGAAGATCTTTGTCCATTCTCTCCTTGCTTGTAGGGTCTCTTCGGAGAAGTCAGCAGTGATTCTGATGGGTTTTCCCCTGTATGTGATCTTTTCTCTACTTCGTACTTGTCTCAGGATTCCTTCTTTGTCTTCATTGGAGTAGAACTTGAGCACCGTGTGTCTGGGTGAAGATCTCTTTGGATCATGTCTGTTGGGAGTTCTCTGTCCATCCTGTATGCGGGGTGGATTCGTGTTCCAAGTGTTTTGGAAGTTTTCCTGTATAATTTCATCAAGCACTGCTTGCATCCCAGATTCTCTTTCTACTCCCTCGGGGAGGCCGATGATCCGAATATTCAATTTTCTAAGGTAATCCTTCATCTCTTGCATCATTTTATTAGTTTTGCTGAGGTTTGTCTCCAGCTGTTTAATTCGCTGGGCACCTTCATTTTGTGTGTCTTCTGTTTCAGAGATCCTTTCCTCTGCCGCATTTATTCTGTTGATGAGGCTTTCAATCTTATTATCTTGGGCATCCAGTTTGGTTTTGATTTGTTGTATTTCGGTGATTATGCGGTTCTGGAGGTCTTCCAGCTTTGTGTCCACGTCTCTGAGAAATTTTAGCATTATTTTCATCAATTCCTTTGCTGGTAACACTTCCATGTCTTCATCTCGTATCGCGATATTGATAATGGCTTTTGGCCCTTGTTTGGTGGGGTGCTGGCTCTTTCATCTGGAGCACAACTCTTTCTGGTGGTTTTTCCCATTGCGTTGGTGTATTCTGGTGAGGCAAATGGACCCGTGTGTTGAGGGGCTGTCAGGTGCTTTCCTGTAGAGATTGGAGCCTGCAGGCGTGGTGTTGCCGGGCGTGGTAATTTTCAAGGCACCGTTGGTGCGTTCTCAGGGCCCGGGGCTGTAGAGCACCACCTTGGGGGCCCAGTGGATTCCAGGCACACTCTGGGCACCTCTTCTACAGGTGTGACACCCCAGGGCGTGGAGGGATGGAGGCGCTCTCTGGGTGTGCCCCCTTCACGGGAATCCACAGGGCGTAGAAGGTTTTATGTGCTTTCTCCCTGCGTTCTCCGTGTCAGGGACTGCAGGGTTTTTCAGAGCCCACCTGGTGCGTCTCCCACACACGGGACTGTGGGTGAGGCACTTTCCAGGCGTGGCTCTTGTGCAGTGAATCCACCACTCGTGGTGTGTGGGTGTTCAGAGCCCCTGCTCCCGTGTGGCTCCCCCACACAGGCCCTTAGCGGAGGAGTGGCCCAGGCACCCTGTTATAATGACTTCACGGCAGGTTCGCACAGTGTCAGTTTGGTGCAGGAGTTTTCAGAGCTCTCCTGGTGGGTCGCCCACGCTCAGAACTGCAGGGTGGGAGGCGAGAAGTGAGCAGTTCACTCTATGGGAGTGGTACCTGCGTGTCAGGGACACACAGCGCTACACTTCCCAAATCTCAGAGCTCTCCTGACACCTGACACCTGCGCTGCGGAGGTGCTGCTGCTGCAGGCGGGGCCGCCAAGCCCGCTCGGTGCAGCGTTCAGAGTCCTCCTGGTGGTTTCGCGCACTCACCAGGCAGGATGTGGGGGACTCCAGACCCTCGCCAGCTGCCTCTGCGCACCGAGACGCACTGGCCCCCTCAGCGCAGGAACATCCGAGGCGCCTTCCCGGGGCCCCCTCAGCCACCAACACCACTGTGCGTAGTTCCCAAGGCACAGACCCAACAGTTTCGGCCGCCTGCTCCTCGTTCTCAGAGGCTGGAACCTCAGCAGGGGGCGAGGAATGCGGAGGCTGCCACGTCAACCCCCAGCTCACCAAACCTCCGGTCGCTGCAGTCTGCCTCCACCGCTGTCGAAGGCCTCCTGCGACGGTCCCCCTGATCTCCCCGCCTCCGAGCTGGCCGCGTCTCCCGTCAGGCTGTTTTCAAAAGTGACTCAGCAGGTCTGGAGTGGGATGTCGGTTTCTCTACCTTTGCCCTGCTCCGTTCTCGTTGTTCTTCCGAGTTGTGTGGATCTTTTTGGCTCCACACTGTCCCAGGGAGCTTCACGGACCTCTCCCTGCGGTTCCCTGCTGTTCCTCTTTGCTGCTTCTGTAGCGTTCTATCCTTCTCTCACTGGACGCTCCCTCACAGCGTCGGCCATCTTAAAGCTCTCCCGTCATTCAAGTTTTTGAAATTCATGAATATCCAATAGTAAGTATCGAATAGTAAGTATATTGAAATTCATGAATATCTGATAGTAAGTGTAGTATTATCACACAAAATCTCTGTGACTTACTGTGAGTTTGTCCAAAAGTCACATTTCAGAGAAAAAAATTGGTTTTTGTTGTGACTGGTATAACGAAGACTTATGGATATATGAGAAGGCAATGTAGCTGATATTTTTGAGAAATGATTTTTACATTGAAAAATATATTCCAGAAATTAAAAATTTAGAAGACATTTTTGATGAAATTCTGATTGGCTTTTTGTTCTAGAAAGTATGTCTTTTGATCTTTCCTATGCATCGAATCTTTTGACTCTTAATGTTCAATTTTATAATTACCCAGCTAATGTTTCAACAAGGGCTAGGAATCACTTCATCACTGTATGCAGTATTTAACTAATAGCATTGTCATAGGTGCTCGATAAATTCATATTTAATCTTCAGTTTCTACAATATTTTAAAATCATCATTTCTCCTGGGGATAACATTCAGTTTATTAATGGTATAGAAGCACATTTTTTAAAAGCCTACAAATGAACAGATATTTCAAAACAAACAAAAAAAGATAAAATTAAAAAATATAAAAATGAATTCAAATATGAGTTGATATTGGCACAAAAAAATTACATCCATGCATACATTTCTTTGGTATGCATTTTCATGAAATTTTTCTGAGATCTCTGAATAATATGTTTATATTAACAGACAATCTCATAAAAAAGTTTATGAAAATACATAATAAAAAATTTATGCATAGATTTAAAGCTTTTGTACCAACATCAGCTCACATTTTTAATCCATTCTTATAGTTTTTACTTTATCTTAAAACATTAATTATGTAGGAACTTGAAATCCCCTTGAGTAATGATGATGGAAACTAAAGGGTGACATTAATTGAGCTGATGTTTTGGAAACAGCTTATTACTATGTGTGCTGTATAAAGTCTCTCAATGCTAAAAGAAAAAACTGAGTTTGTAGTGATTCCTATGCTGTTGGTTAACAAAAAAATTTGGTTATTTCTGGGCATAAATTTCATCCCAATTTTGAATTTTTGCATTTTTTCCTAAAAACAGAGTTTGGCTATATATTGTAATTTAGAAAATTAGACATACAAAAGTGTGGAAAATACTAAAAACTGAATAGGCGGAACAGAAGAGCGGTGTGGACTTCTACTAGATGTGTCTTCTGTCCGTAGGATTTCTTGAGCCTTCTTGCCAATCATTTGGTCTTCCAAGTTGCCAGGATGTTTTTCTGTTGAAGAAAAAAACCAGAAAGATTGTTGTGGTTAATATTCATCTCAGAGTATGGAAGCACCCTGAATCCTGCTTTAAGGACTTTCTCCAAAGATTTCCTCTAAGCAATGAAGGGACTATCAAACCACTGCCAATCATCAGCAGTTTGAGGAGTAGCTGTTAGAACTGTTGCAGGGAAGGTAAAGAAAGAAGTCCTAAAGACTCATGCCAAATGAAGCCTTCAGTGACTGACAGGACAAAGGACAGAGGCCATGGCGGTGAGCATGCCAGGGTCACTCCGGGATCCTCTCTAATAGAAGACTCAGGTCAATCACTGAAACTGAGTGTGGATCAGATGTGGGAGTGGTGTTATTAATCCATTCAAGAAAAAAAAAATCACTAAAGCTTTTTTAGGATAGTTTTAAAGTCTCAGTGTCAAAGAGTGAAAAAATAATTATAAATCCAACCATCATAGCACTCATCATGATGATGTTCATGGGGTTGCAGAACATGTAAGAAAAATACAAGTTGTGAGAAAAAAAATGGATACTTAGTCCTTTCTGATCCCAAAATGAATTCATGTTCAAAATTCACACTACATAGGTTATCTTTGAATTCTGTATTTGTACAAAACACTCACATTATCATATTATAATGCAAAAACACAAGGACACACTGAAGGGATCTGGCAGCTCAGCATGCTCCCCTTCAATGTACAACTATGAGACAATGAATGATAGAATCACTTGAAACAAAATGGTTGTTTTAGTTTTGTTAACTCAATTTTGTCCAAAGAATTTCATTCATTCTTCATGGACAGAAAAAGAAGATGTCAAGCAAACTTTTTTTTTTTTTAATGTAATCATTCTAGAAAAAAAGTAGTTCTTAGTGTGAGGTTAAATGATGTGCATAGCAAATTTTAAAAATAAGGAACAATGCCAACTCGGCTCCTGTCTTCAGTAACTCTGAAGGAAGGGGACAGCAGACATGGGTGGGCCAATGCTACACTCAGGTTGACACCATCTCACACTGTCTAATTGGTCATTGATTACACTTGAGCTTCTCTGGTTTGCATGTGTAGCTTAATTCCCTCTGCTAATGAAAAACAAGTCATATTCTTAGTATATTTTCAAGCAACAGTCTTGTATCAACATCTGAGGGCAATAAAAAAAATAATAATTTGACCAAAGTACAATATACCCATGATACTCGTGATGAGGATTTTAAGGAGGTTTCCAATTCACCATGGAAACAAGCTGATGAAAATGCTACAACTGATGAGAAGATGATGAGTTGATACCTTTTGGGCCAAAGTGACTTCCTACTGCATACTTATTCACACATTTTAAATGTTGTATTCAAATGTCACATTGTATCCCCAGAGGCAGAACTACTCCTTGGAAAAGCCAGAGTGAGGACACACACACAAAAAACTAGTGGCTTGTTAACTGCAAATTCAGTGTTCTACTGACAACCAGGATTAGAGAAACATGAGGAGTAACAGGAGTCTTAGTTTAGGTGCCACATGTACAATTCTCTACCAAGACACTGCACCACTTTACAGTTAGAAACGTAACATTTGAAGCAAAGTTAGAAAAACGAAACATGCTGAAAAAGTAATCCTTTGACTGGAACACAGAGAGTATCCAGCAATTATGCTAAACCAGCTTTTTAGTAACACAGAGGGCAGAGGACGGATGACATCTGTGGGATCATACAGAATCAGGCTAGGCTTGTTTGACACTGGGAGCTTTTGGTCGTTCAACATACCTGGCTCTGGCTCAATTCCGGCAGCTACATTACATGATCTGTTGAAGAAAAAACAAAACAAAAATTGTCAAGATACTTGTAGATCACACATCCAACTCCATATCTGAATGCAGTGAAAGAACTTATTCAAAATCCAAGCAGTACCAGTTCCTATTGCAGAGTGATACTTTTCTGATTATTTTCTGAGATTAGTTTATTAAAATATGTATACTAAGAAAAAGGCTCATGGCTTTAATAACTTTTGAGAAAAAATGTTTCTAATTTATTCTTTCATTCTTGAATATCATTGGTATTAATGACTTACATTTACCCCAACAGGAACAAAAGGTAAAGAAAAACCAAATGGTCTGATAACTGGAAAAGTGCCAGTGTCCACTGGTGTTCCATTGAGAGCTCAAGGAACTTGCAGCAGCCTGTTGGTCAGACTCCATGCTTGGGGTCCTGGCTCCAGCCATCGCGACCATGTGGTGAGCTGGGCCCAGGTCTGCCTGGGCTCAAGAGGCTTCTCCCTTCCTGGTGAGTATGCTGGGAGGGCATCTCTTGGGAGCAAGGCAGGCCCCGGCTCAGGATAGAAGAGCATGCAGGCAAAATGACTCTGTTTAGGGGCCTCATGGACAATCCTCCCGAGATGAAGCGCAGGCCTGGTTTCCTCTCTTAGTGGATGATGATTGTACAATCAGTGTTCTTGAACAATGGGTGGTAACCCAATGGGTATTTATTTATTCTGTTGCAGGAAAATGAAACTTTATTTAAAATTTTTACAGAAATAGATTCATCTAAGTATTGGACAGCGGTAAAATAAAATTTTCTGAATCCCAGCATTATGCACTGATACTGAGGATTTTCATCAGATTTGAGATCTCAGGCCAAAAAGTTAAGGGTAGTACACATTACGATAGGTAGATTTAAAGTTTTTCTTTAACAAAAGTATGTTTGTATTCTGGATTCCTTCTAAAAATGTTTTATTTTTATCTTTGAACACCGTTTGTGCCGAAAGAATTGGGGTTACACTACAACAACACAGAAGGATAAAGACAGATAAGCTGAATGGATCTGGTCATTTGGAGTGTGTCCAAGACAACGATTGAATAGCCTGCAGCAAAATGGTTCCGTTCCACTGGAGTGTGTGTTCCTACGGAATCCCATCCACTGGTGATGGACAAAGATTTTCAGCAACGCTTGTAAAAACGTATGCAAGCATTTGAGAACAAGTAGTCCCTAATATGAGGTCAAAGGAAGTGACTGAGAAGTAAACTCCTAAAGAACATGCCAACTGCACTCTTCTGGAGGTCAGAGCACACTAGACACGGATGCGCCCATGCCCAGGTCAGGCGTCAGCTCCCACTCAAAAGCTTTTGTCAGCCATTCTATGTGACACTGATCTTGATGGCAGTGTTGGTATTATTTCTCCTGCTACAGCAAAGCCTGGAGATTTCTCAGTATAGCTGAAGACAATATACTAATTTCAACCTTGAGTGGCAGTGAAAAAAAACCATCAAAACCCGATAAACACTCATGTGGCTTCTGAGACACTACAGGGGTAAGTTTTCACAGTTACTGCTTGATGAGAACTTGATGCCTAGCCTGAATACTTTTTGGAGAGAAAAAAGCCTGTATGCTACATTTATTTTTAGATTTTACATTTTTGTCAATGATAACATTTTTGTACTTGGTATCACAACCCACTTTGATAAAGCAAAAGACAAGGGACACAAATCAAGTGGCAAAGAAGCTGACAGTGCTGTTAGTGCTCCATAACAAATGACAGGGAAAGAGTAAACCCCAGCACGATCTCAGTTTGGGTGCCTCCTGGCTGATTCTCCCCTGGAGAACCCTCTCCCCAAATGAAGCTAGAGAACTCAAACATGCAAGTTTTGATGGAGTTGCCTTTTGAGTTACATTAAAGCAAGCTCAAGGAAAAGGAAAGGAAATGCTAAGGAAGCATGCTGACTCAACTCTGTAGTGACTAAGAGATCAAGGGACAGAAGTCACCAATTGGCATTGAAATAATGTGTTCAGTCAACATACCTGACAAGACATCAGACTCCATCCTGACAGAACATTGCCTGTTGAAAATGGGAGATAAAAGAATTCTTAGTGTTTTCAAATATCATTTAACCAACTGAATCCTGGAACACAATATTTTGCACCACCGACTTATTCTCACATTGTGGGTGTTTATGAGACTGCCAACATACGACACACTTTATGAAAATTTATCCACGATAACACAGTTCATAATTTTGAAAATCTCAAATCTCTTTTTCAGAAAAAAAGACCCAAATCCACATTCTGGAACAACATCACAAATATTCATACACTCAGACTTCACAGTCTCCTATGGAGAGACTGATGACATTTCCAAAGCTCCATGATGAAAAGTCTTTTCAAAGCATTCTGAGAGTTTGACAGGGAGATGTCAACCAGTTTGGGGCCACAACACTCATATACAAATAATTTGTGGAGATGGAATTTATTACTGGTATTGCTTTGTGTTTTAAGAACTGCCCCTGACAGTTTCACAAAGAAAAGTAATAGAGGAAATTAGGGGACCTGGGAGGCAGATGAGTGTCCACTCCATGCTGTGGTGGATCAAGGATAGAACAGGTGACTGCTGTCTTGGTTTCCAGGACACAAAACCAAGTCTCCATCCAGAAATTGGTCTATCCTGCACAAAACCAGGGAATTAACCCAGGTGAGGAAGGCTGACAGGTCCCATGCCACTGTGAAACTGTCTCTCTACCACCTTAGGAAAGTGGTTGCCTCTATGGGTACGCCTCTAAAGCAATTGTCTTCAAGGAACTCTACCTGCCTCAGATAGAGACCAAATGAATCAAGTGAAGTTGGGAAATACAAATGTAAACATTTGTGAAAAAGCAGCCACTTTATGTTCTGCTAAAATATTGATAAAGGACAGAAAAGGAAATCCTAGGAAATGAAAGGAGAGCACAGCCTATGCTGGGAGTGCACAAGTCAGAACAACAGATCTGCCCCCTTTTCACTCAGGTCTGCGGCAGTTTCTTTTCAGCCATGATTCTCTGCACTGTGTCACACTACCATTCAAGTGCCAAGACTCTGGTGAACAAAGACCAAACATATTTCGGAGTATGTTCTAGCAACACTCCCTTCTCAGCAGCAGATGGCTGGCAAAGATGGTATCCTGAATTCAAATAAGATACATGTTTATAGCAGATTTACATGATTTTGGATTCATCACAAACAGTTCATAGCAACATATATCATTGGAAAATGATTCACGGATTTAGTATACTTAAGACAAAGAAAGATCTATTTTAAATTCTCACATGCTTCCCTACTGTCCCTGATGTCATTTTTGTGGGAAAACAATGCAATTTCCGTTTACAAAAACCATAATCACAAGGATGAGTAAAGTTACAGAATCTGTTATCATGGACCATGCACCTGCATTGTCTCTGAGGGAAGCAGTACCACTGGCTCAGCTCAGGGACCACAGTGCCAGTTGTACATCAATGGACTATGCACCCTAAAGTATCTGCAACCATGCTGCATGGGAGGAAGACACCTAGACTGAATTGCACCTGAGGAAATGTGCCCATGCACCTTCTTTCTGAGCACATTCCAAGGGGCACATGGGTAACACCCATGACCTTGGCAGAGTTGGCACATCCAATAGCCATTGGTGGAACTCAGGCCATACTTCAGAAAAAAGGAACCCTTTGAGGTAAGGTCACGAAATGGTAGTGAACATGAAAGGGAATTCTCAGAGAGATTGCTTTGGGCACCCTTCAGTCATTCACTGGGCAGTAGACAGGACAGGATGATATAAGTGCCCCCAACAAGCTTGTGCTTGGCACCACTTCCCCTGGGGTGCCCTAGCTCTTTTTCCATACCTGGATCTGTGCTCATTCCCAGCTGAGTGTTGGAGTTAAATTCTGAAGGAAAAAGAAAACAATAATTCACCTGAGTGCATCTGCGTACAACAGCAACACAGTCTCACACAGCCTACTACCACCATCTTCTAAGTTGAGACTCATGAGGTTTTTGAAGCGTGCTCAGAAAATGTAAATGCACTGCACATTAGCACAATGCTGTCTGTACCTATCAACCACACTAGGCCACATTGCTTTGCACATTCAAGTCATTCTGACAAGTAGGATCCCGTATTAGTATTGTTTGGGGGTTAAGAACAACCCACTGCACTAGCCCTACGTGCTTTGAAACAAGCATTTTCTATGTTAAGTCATCAAATGGGAGCAGGTCTTTTGGGTAGAGTTGGCTAAATCATACTATGATCTTGGTATTCATGCAATGGGGACCATTCTCTACCAGAGAATTCCATCCCTCCTGTGCAGGAACAGGGCATCTAAAGATGCAAAGGAAAACTGTGGTAATGTTTGGCTTCAAGCAACCCTGCGTGTCAGGGTTATAAAATGTTACAGATAATGAAAGATATTATAAATCATCAAAACCTGTCCATCCTGTTGAAACCCAGAACACGGAGTGCAGAAGCCATATGGGCATTAACAAACTCAGTCTCTGCATCCTCTGTTAGTGCATATCATAAATCTTTCTTCATCGTGTTAATGAGACCCATTCAAGGGATGCTGTCACAATTACTGTGCAGGAAGACCAAAGCAGATTCATCTCAAAGGTTTCTGGGTCACATTCGACAACAGAAACAAGGTTTATCTCCACCCAAAATCAGTACTACTACAGGATCCTTGGCCAATCCTAGGCTTGTTATGGTTAACTGTGCTCAGAGGCAAACCAGGAGAGATGGATAGAAAGGAAACATAGCGGACTCAACCACACCATGACTTTGCATCCACGTGATTTACAAATGTGGCTACTGTGTATTTCATCTTCAAAGGAAGTACAAGAATCTTTAAAAATGAAAGCTATCGGAATATGGGGAAGTTTCAGTATTCCAAGCAGAAACAAGCAAAACAAAAACAAAACAGAAATGAATTGGAATTTAAATCAGGAAAGGGTATTATAACACAAATGTATTTAAAACCATAACGACCAAAAAAGATGCAAGAAAAAAATACTGCCCTTGCATACAAGGAAAGAAGAAGCGTATTGGAACCCAAGCATTTGTTATGACCCAGAAAATTCAAAGGAAGAGAACACGCAAACAGGGTTGGACCAGATCATTGCACCATGTTGGTCAGAAGATATATTCTCAAGATTCAACAAAACAAAATTCATAAAGCCAAGAATGCTTTGGTAAACCAGTTTGCATCCAGAAATTCACAAGGGAAAGGATGCGAAACATTGGTAGTCATGTCCATTCAGAACCCTGACTATGTTTATCAGTGGCAAGGATGCATAATTGATTAAGAGGACACCATTACACATACAAAAGGAAGAGAAATAAGATATCACAATAAGCATATAAGATCAAGGATTCAAAGCAATACTGAGAGGACAGAGGGTACAAGATATTTTGAGAATCAGGTTCCGCTGGGAGGCCCAGCTCTTATTTCCTACCTGCATCAGCACAAATAGGCAAATCAGTCACTTTGGAGGAGTCTGAAAGGAAACAAAACAACAATGCATCTGAGAATACTTGCAGAAAACACACCCAACGTGACATCTGCAAACAGCAACACACAGTCTCACAGATCTTCCTGCCACCATCGTTGAGGTGGAGATTCCTGAGATGTCTGAAGCACGTTCAGAAATAGTGCATGCATTGCATCCTAGGTGAACAGGCTGGCTCCATGTCACCCAGCCTGGGCCAAGGCACTTCTCCCGTTCGTTCCCTCCAACTTCTTTTCCCAGGGAGGAATCTCTCCTGGGGGTTGCTTGAGTGCTAGGGAATACTCTCCCATCACAGCCTTTCAAGCAGGACCAAGACTGGAGTCCACCCAGGCATCACTCTCTCCTACCGGGGGGCTCCTTGGCCTTTCTGAGGGAGGCACCTTTAGGATAGCATTAGGCACTGCCCAATGAGCAGACATGGGTGCGAAGACAGCTTCAAGGATGGAGCTACACCCCTGCTTCACGTCAGCTGCTTCTTTGAGTCTGGGTCCTGACACTGGCTGCTGCGTGCGTGGCTCTCCCGTTGCATGAAGCTGTTGTTAAGTATGAGGAGAGCAAAGGCTCCAGAATGGAGGGTGTTTCGTTCTTTTTGTGTCTAGTGGTGTTCCTATTTCTTGTTAACAGTGCAGCCATATAAACTTAGTTGGTGTGATAAGCCACAATATTATTGTAAATTTGAGAATTGCATTACTAATATTATAGCATATCAAGCTAATCAAATGTAGAAAGACATAACTATCTTAAATGCCCTTAGAATTGTGTGTCACTAAATATGTTCCTCACACACTCCATGAAACTATTCAGCTGTTAATATAACGAAATCATATGATGAAGGACTATATGTTCCCTATTATGGATATTCTAATCATGTGGAATAAGTATTAATGAGTAATGTAATATTTTCCATCAGGTAGCAGGAATTCAACATGAAATTGGAATTCATAGTTAAAATAATGGAGAATTTAATATCCAGTTATGAGGATTCAATGCAGTATGCATGGTCTTTTTCAATCTAGAAATGAACTCTCAATGAAATTTTGGATTTATCTAGAATACCTGATGAAGACTGAAACATTGTGTAAAATAGCAATGTTTCTGCGGACTAACATAGTGGACATATTGAATGGTAACTCTTCCATCGGTTCATGATTTATGGGCAATATAATGTCAGAATATACAGAATTGTATAGTACATTTATAAAATAAAAATTGAAAAATACTAGCTATTCCCAACTGTAGTCTTGCAGTTTCGTTTTTTCTCTTTTCTGGACCAACACATTTCTACATGGATTCCTCAGAGGGAAACCAGACATTTGCGTGGTAGCTGTCTACCCACAAAGCACTAGCTATGCCAAACTGTGCTCTTGGAATTCATGCATCTTTCCTCTCCTGTGGAACTCCATCCCACCTGCACAGACACAGAGCTTTTCAAGAACAGAATATTCAGCTCAGTCTAACGTCTGGCATGAAGTAGCTCTGTACACTAGTTGTTCAACAGGGCACAGACCGTCAAAGTTATCCTAAGTCACCATGCCCTGGGCATCCTGCTCCAAATCAGAGCACAGATTGCAGAGGCCTTATGGGCTAGCTGGTAATGAGCTCCTGTTTCCATCTTTACTAAGAAGAGTGCAGAGTTCTATTTCCATACCTATTGGTGGTTCACCCTCAACAGAATCGGGGTCAATATCTGAGGAAGGAAGAACAGAGCAATGTCATCTCAATACACCATCAAACACTCTCCTATTCACATCTGAAAGCAGGGACAAGGATGATCTGCTCCCAGGATTCAAGGTCTACAACTACAGGCACGTTGATATTTCAGAGGCACCCGAGGATGTTATGCAAAACACACCCCGGGAGGGGGTGACACTTTTGTGAAGACACAGTATACATGGCACACTCAGACTCTCCATCCCAGGTCTCCCGGTTTCTGGCTGATTGGGGTCACTGGACTCACCTTGGCAGGTGTTCTGGAGGAGGGCCAGAAAACAAAACCTACATACAACAGAGTCCACTGCAGGTCAGCTCAGCTCACAGAGTACAAAACCCCATCTGCACTGGCAACACTTTTCTGGCAGACCTTGGGAGTGTGCCCTCAAACACATAATACCTTGTGAAATGGGACCATGGCATGCAGACTGAATTATGACTGAGAAAAGATACTTGTCCTCGCACATTGTGTCAGAGGGCATTCCAACTGGCCCATGTGTGCCCCCCATGTCCTTTGGAATGCTTGCCACAATTCCAGGATGCGTGGGTGGAACTCAGGACCTTCCTGAAGCACACAGGAACCTTTCCAGGTAAGGTCCTTCATTTGGAAAATGGAAGTCAACATGAAAGGGAACTCTCAGACATTGCCATGGGCATCCTTCAGTTCCTCACTGGGCAGAGGACAGATGACATAAGTGCCCCCAACAATTTTGGGTTTCTCATCATGTTTCCCCAGCAGCCCGAGCTCCTTTTCCATACCTGAATCCTGTGCTGAATCCAGATAATACTTAGGTGTTGATGCTGAAGGAAAAACAAAGCAATAATGTACCCGAGCAAACTTCCCTATTAGACACACCATGTTACATCTGCAACAGCCACACATCTCATATAGCCTACTGCAATCACCTCTGAAGTCGAGATTTCTGAGACATGTGCAGCATGCTCAGACAATGTCAGTGCATAGCATCCTAGCTGAACGTGGTGCCTGCATGTCATCCTCACTGGGCCAAGGCACTTCTCCCCTTCTACTTTTCTTAGAGGCAGGAATCCCTTACTTAGAAATGCTCACAGGACAACCTAGGCTTAGGCTTTGGCATCCTTGCTCTGCTTTGCTTGGCTTTTCTCTTTTCTAGACCAACACATTTCTACATGGATTCCTCAGACAGGAAACCAGACATTTGCGTGGTAGCTGTCTACCCACAAAGCACTAGCTGTACCAAACCGTGCTCTTGGAATTCATGCATCTGTCCTCTCCTGTGGAACTGCATCCCTCCTGCACAGACACAGAGCTTTTCAAGAACAGAATATTCAGCTCAGTCTAACGTCTGGCATGAAGTAGCTCTGTACACTAGTTGTTCAACAGGGCACAGACCGTCAAAGTTATTCTAAGTCACCATGCCCTGGGCATCCTGCTCCAAATCAGAGCACAGATTGCAGAGGCCTTATGGGCTGGCTGGTAATGAGCTCCTGTTTCCATTCTTCCTCTGCCCATTGCATACATGTTTCTTCTTACCTCTCAATGGTTCCCAGTTCAGAAAATCTGGCTCCATAACTGTGAAAGGAAAACAGAGCAACGTCATCATAATATACCCTCAGATGACAGTCTCCTATTCACATCTGAAAGCAGGAACAAGGCTGATCAGCTCCCAATCATCAGTCTTATACACTATCTGCACCTAGGCTTTTGAGGCACCCTAAGCGCAACACTGTGCACAGCACATGGCTGGGGTGACAGTTTCCACATCAAGCCACACCATTGCCACAGTACAGTCTGCATCAATCTTGGTGTCTGACACTGGCTGTGGCCTGTGTGTATCTCCCATTGGAAAGATAAGTAGATAAGCACGAGGAAAGGAAAGGCTCCTGAATGTCAAGAAGTTCTTCCTCTGTGTTCCTAAGAAGTCAAGGAAACAGACTAAGATGCCAGTCACCTTTATTGGTCAGTGGCCACAAGGGAAACTCTAGATCGTTGACTTTGGTCTTCATCGACAGCCACTCACAAATATACTACCAGTTAGGGAGGTCATGCAGACATAATGGAACCTTGCAAGATGGTATGGGTTCAGGCCAGAAAATCCAAAGCATGCATGCCATGCCGCACTCTCTTCAGTAGAAGAGTTCCACTCTGTGTCCCCATGGACCCCAGGGGCAAGACAGGACTACCCACATCTTGCTTTCTGCGACATACGGACAACTCTCGAGCCAGAACAGTTGTTCTGTCCTGCAGAGCTCTGAGCCATGAGAACAGGGCAGGATGGCTGTGCAGGTTGTGGCAATGTGGTCCAGGGTTAGTGTTTCAGGGAATTGTAGTCGAGAAAGGAGACAAACATCAGAAAACTATGGGAAACACTCTCAGTGCAGTCCCTCGGAAGAGCAATGATACCTGACATGGGTGCAACCTTAGACGCTGCAGGCCTGCCTATGAAGCCCGTGTCAAAGATTGGGTGCAATCCCCACACTCCCAAACTCAGGGTCACCATCACATGCTGTTTCACCATGCTAAGGCACACAACACTAAGCTGACATATGACACTTTCAGGAAACAGACACATCTCACACTCAAAACAATACGGGAGACTTGTCCTGCCCATCTCAGACACCCACGTGGTAATCTGCTCTGATGTCCACTGAGACCTCCAAAGACAATGGAACAGAGGTACACAGCATGGGATACAGTGCCCAGACAGACTGCTCTGGGAACTACACAAACTCCTTGGCCATGTCTGCTCAGATGTGCCATTTTCATTGCCACGCAGAGGCTTCCAGAGCCTTCCGTGTACCTCTTGGAGGCAGCCAAAGTATCATGAGAGATATATTCCATTCTGAGCATATTGGGAAGTGTCTTCAAATGTGCTGCTAGGAGATAATCTAATGCCAGTGGGCAGAAATTGGCTGCCTCAAAGCTGTTGCCCTCTGGGTACAATACCCTCTGGAGGCACATCTTTCCTGTGCACAAAAAGAATGTGGGGTGGCAGCCAAAACACCAATGTTTGAATGAAAATCGACATTCCCAAGAGCAGAGGGTAATGGGCTAGGTTCTGAAGTGTCTGAATCAGCATTTAAGTGACTCCTGAAATGCTCAGATGGCACAGTGTATCAGAGCATTTTATCAATCTCGGGATTGCCTTCAGTGTCTCCAAAGTTTCTCTCATTGCTGTCATGGATTCTACAGGTTTCGTTAGGTGTTTCAGAAAATGAAACCTACCAGCTGCAGCTCCCTTTAAAGGATCCCTTTCAAGTTAGCCCATAAGCCAGATTACATTACACAGAGTAAAACCTTATTGTCCCCATAGTGGATATTTAATAATTTTGATGCACCTTAATAGCCAGAAGCACACAGCATGAATGAAGCCTTTATACCAATTGTGTCTTAGAAAATATTAAGTGTCCTTTTTTTTAAAGATTTATTTTTATTATTTTTTCATTGGAAAGGCGGATGTACAGAGAGAGGAGAGAGAGAGAGGAAGATCTTCCGTCCGATGATTCACTCCCCAAGTGAGCGCAACGGGCCGATACTATGCCGATCCGAAGCCAGGAGCCTCTTCCGGGTCTCCCGCACGGGTGCAGGTTCCCAAAGCCTTGGGCCGTCCTCCACTGCTTTCCCAGGCCACAAGCAGGGAGCTGGAAGGGAAGCGGGGCTGCCGGGATTAGAACCGGCGCCCATATGGGATCCCGGGGTTGCAAGGCGAGGACTTAACCACTTGCGCCACTGCGCCGGGCCCGAAAATATTAAGTGTCCTTTTACATTCTGTCTGAGACCCTTGCATTGGTCCAAGCACATCTCCTGCAAGAACTAGTGCACTTTCAAAGGCTTGGATGGAACTCAAGCTCTGTTTCTGGAGATAGGAACCTCTCAAGTTAAGGTCACGAATCAGTAGCAAACATAAAGGAATTCTCAGGGAGACTGCTACAGCCTCCCTTCAGTCACTCACTGGCCAGTGGATAGATGACCTAAGTGTCCTCAGTAATCTCACGCCTGTCTTAATGTTCCCCTGTGCTCCAGAACACAACATATCCAACTTTACATCTGGTTTAAATCGCACACAATGTCATATGCCCTAATTCCAGCATCACTGAATTTGGGAAAAATGAAAGGATCCAGAATGTGCAAATCTTTGTCTGTGATCCAGATTGGAAATGATGTATTTTAGATTGTCCTCATTTTAGGTTAGGTGCCACCTGAACTCATCTTCGCTCATTATATTAGTGTCCATTGGACAGCCCAAGGTGATTTCATTACAGTGACTCAAAAAAAACATTCCACTCATGATACAGGTGGGCCCATTTCTGGATTGCAGCTGGTTTTTTATTTGAGCCTGAAAAATGCTATGTACCCTTGTACCTTCTTTGTGAGGGCATTCCAATTAGTCCACTGAAGTCATTAATATTCCCTCAACACAAGCACATTATATTCAGATATGATGCACAAGGTTACTCACATGATATTTCTGATCTAATGTGAACATAGAGCCATAGAAACACATATATTTACAAAGTGATTCACAGATTTAGTTTTTCTGAGGAAAAAGCAAATTGGACTCCAATTTTTTAGCTACAAGTTTCTGAGAACAATATTAAGAGTTGGCATTTGCAAGTCAAACACATCAGTTTACCTACCCTTCATTCTCAAATATTTTGAAGCTGCTCCTAATCTTTGGCACTCTTGTAAAGAGAGATCAGATTTATTCAAGGGTGGGGCAATGCTAAGTGTTTGCCATGACCCCTCGAAGCCTTGTGGCTTTCAACACAACCAGTTAAAATTGTCCAGAAAATCCAAAGTGTCTGCCCTGAGTTCCCGATTCAGTGAGTTCTCACCTGTACCATTTTCTGGATTCCACATGATGATTTCATGGTTAGTGCTGTTTCCACTGCTAGTGCTGGAATCTCCCCAGCTCTCACTAGGCAAAGACTCACTGTGGTCTTCAAAGATCTGTGGGTAGTTTTCAATTAAAATCTCTATGATAGACATCTGTAACACAAAAGCATGGGAACAGGGCACTCCTTTTCACCTGCAAATGAGTCATGCATTCTATATGAACACTGGACATTACAAAAAACACATAAATTCTAAACAAAATTCACAGTTGACATAAACATATGAACGATCTCCTGCACTATAGTTACACTTTCAAAAGTACTAAGTAATTTGTCAGAAAACTGCCCCTCAGAAAAACAGTATTTTCTGTGTCCTAGTGCAATAAAATGCTAACATTTTCTTAATAACTTCTTTGTTTAGATAGCACAATTGTCTATACATAACAGCTAGGTACAATAGCTCAATGGCTAAATCCTCACCTCACATGTGCCAGAATCTCACATTGGTGCTGGTTCATATCCTGGCTGCTCCACTTCTCTCCAGCTGTTTGCTTGTGGTCTGGGAAAGCAGTAGAGGATGGCATAAAGCCTTGGAATGCTGAGCCCATGTGGGAGATCTGGAGGAAGCCCCTGGCTTTGGATCAGCTCAGCTTTAGCCGTTGCAGCCATGCAGGGAGGGAACCAGCAGAGGAATCATCTGTCTCACTGTCTCTCTGGAATCTGATCTGCCTTTCCTTTTCCTAGTGAATCTGTGTAGGATGTTTGAGGTGGTGGTATGCACTTTCACATAACTTGTGAAGTACTCAACAGAAGAAAACATGTGTTGCATTAAACTTGGGAAGCAGAGGTTTTTGTGGATTTTTTGACATGAATGGAGTCAACTACAAAGGAAATGTCTGTTTCTTTAGCTGCAATCCCTCCACAATCATTCCTCTGCTTCACTCTAAGTTACATCTATGTCAGCTTGATAAGAGCTGTCATTGTACTGGAGACATGTGGGTCTGTTAGGATGCTTTAAAACTGACTCATTTTCATTCCAGTAGCATAGGTAAGATGGAAAGTGGCATTTCATTGAGTGAGCTACAGGAAGGGTGACTGAGTAGGGGAATATATTTGCTCATTTTGAACAGGCCGTGTCACTGTTGATCTGAGGATACTGTTAACACTACTGACACTACTCAGCTGAGAAGGCTTGATAAGGAAACAAATTCAGGCGTGCATGGTCCTCAATGATGAGTGACAGAGTTCATCTCAGACTGGCCATTTACCAAAACCCTTGTATTTCCTTCTCTGATGTTACATAACATTAGAGAATGTTACATAACATTCCTGTTTCCCTGTGCTTTAACACCTGATGTGTCTGTTTCCTGCTTTGGAAAGAAGTAATTCACTGCTCTCCATCTCTGACTTACCACCACATGTTCCCACAACTCCAAATATAGAATAAGTGACCTTGACATTCAGGAAGGATATATAGCACTTTTCATTGTAAAATGTGGTCCATCACAATGGAAATGGGGCACCTCATTACCTGTTTAACTATTTCACTTTCCATCGAAGCAATCTGTGTGGTACATTTCCACAGTGAAAACACACTTGTTGTGATGTTAAAAGCTAGCTTGGGTGCACTCATCAGGTTGAAGGAGGCATTGTTCGATATCTCATATAAGCACAAACATAACTGCCGCAGGACATCCACATTGCATACGGGCAGGAGTTCTAAGAGCCTGAACACGTACACACACAAGCAAAACAAAGAAAAAAAATCCAGTCATTTCCCTGCTGCAGTGATAGAGAGAGAAAGGGAACAAAATATTTCAAATTCCATTATCTTAATACTATCACTGGGGCTTGGGTGGGGCGAAGGAGAGGTTAAAATCATGTTTTTTCACTTGAATAACTTTGTGAATGTCCAGTTTACACAAGTCTTAATAGTGGCTTTTGCATTCCAGAATGTGTTCAAAGCTTACTGAGGAAATTTAACAGCATTTGAGTTGCAAACATTTTACCTTCTAAGGTAAAACTGAAGCAATGATGTCTCAAGGCAATAGTAAAACAATGAAGCAAAAACACATTCAAGGTATGAATCCAACTGAAAGTGATTAATGTCAATTCTTTAAGCAGACACAGAGTTATCCACCTAATTAGCATTGACAAGTGTATAGTGAGATCAACAAAGAACTATTCTTACAGCATATCTCTGGGATCAGTGAGTTTCCGCTCCATTAATGTGACATTCAGTGACACTCAATACAGTGGTCAATAACTCCATACCAATACTACTTGGTGTGAATAAGAACCCAGTGGGTGTGCTAAAGTCTACCTCTGCTCTGATTCTGGCCTTTGTGTGTGTGATCGCATGAATCCCCTTCACAGTGCACATGCTTGTTGTGGTTAAAACTTTAAAGCACAAGCTAATATTTTTCTCTGTGTTGGCTATATTTGGAGGCATGTCTGGATTAGATATGAATGATATTACCACCTTTTGATTTCTCTGATTTCCACTTTATCCTTATCAAGGACACCAAGCCAACTATCATAGAGTTCCATTGTAAAAAGTGTTCCAGGTATGATCCGAAGACAATCCTTTCAAAGATTAAAAGAAAAAAAGTCATAAAAGTTGGATGACAAATATGGTTTGGAGAAACCGCAAAGGTAATATTTCATTGTAATATTCATTTTAATCAGCACTTCCTAGAAACTCAAACTGTGACCTCTATAAAACTTAGGCTGCGATTTACACCAATGTGTATAGGCAGAAAAGGGTACTCCAATTTCTTCTAAAATGAGATATGTAAAACCAGGGTCTGGGCAGCTTCAGGAGGGAAGGCAAAGTCCCTTACTGTCTAAAGGTTCTTTGGGCATGATTATGGCAGTGTGCTAAATTGCTTCCAAAAACAAAGTCAGTGATCCCCATCAGAGGAACAGTTCAATTTTTGGCACCTCCACTTTTGTTCCAGTTCCTTACCAATGTACCTGGGAGAGCAGTAGATAATTGTCCAATTGCCTGGGCTCCTGACACATTGGATATTAAGATGGATTTCTAGGATCCAGGCATTATCCTGGCCCAACCCAGTCCAGCACAGTCCACTGTGGTCAGTTGGGGAGTGAACTTGCATAAGTAATGATGATGATGATGATGATAATGATGATGATGATGTGTGTGTGTGCAGATGTGCATTTTTGTCCTTGTATGTATGTTAATTTATTTGAAAGGTGAAAAGATGAATATTTGAACAACAGAGTAACAGAGGAAGAGACAGAGGCTGCGAGTGAGACTATTCCCCATATAGCCATGCTGGCCTGGCCAGACCAGGGCCATGTGAAACCAGGAGTCAGGAATTCTGCCATATGAGTCACAGTGACCAGAGTAACTGGAGCATCTTTTGGTGCCTTATCATATGCATCAGCAAGAAGGCTATTTTGAAGCAGATCAGCTACAACCTGAACCAGGGCTCCTACGGGATGGTTGTGTTGTAGCCAAGAGCTAAACCCCCTGCACCACAATCCCAGCCCTATATATGTCTCCTTCAATCACATAAAGCAAATATAAACATATATAGCATTCTTTAGGCATAGTTTAGCAAACTAGTACAAACTGACATTTCTGTTTATGCGTCACCTTGAATCATACTTTCAAACTGAGAACATGTAAACCGTGTGTACCTTGAATGTTGCTTTCAGTCCTTTTATGTCTCAGCAGCAAAATTTGTGAAACAAAACAAATGAAACGACACATGTGCTCACATACAAATTCAAGTGAGGATTAGACATTCTGACTGGTGCTTTGTTCCTCAGCAATGAACTCTCCAATTACACTCACGCTGCCTTTTTCTCACTGCCTAATTAATCAAATCTTTATGCGATGGTATACTACTCAGCCATTAAAAAGAACAGAAAGATGGATCAAAGTATAAGCCATTGCACTTGGTGAAATTAGCCAGGCCTAAACAAGATAAATACATTTTCCCTGGACTCTAGTAACTAATATACAAAGTACAGAAAAACTGTAACCTATGTGAGCAACACTGACATTTTGATACTTGACAATTGTTTATAGATTTTGTGTATATTCAAAGAAAAATGGGTTTTCTTCTACTTTATTTGCTACTTGTTTGTTTGCCTAGTACGTGTTAGCTTGTGATTGCAAAGTGAACTGAAATGTGCCCGTGCAGTGGAGGTTGGAAAGTTTCACTATGCTTCTAAATTAATTTTATGAAATATGTGAATTGTGCTCATGTTGGTTAACTGTTTGGTGGCATTTGTATTTCCAGGTCATACCACTTTGGTAGCTTTCTTTCCATTGGTCTCGCTAGAGGACCAATGCTGAAATGCCTCCCAGTTCATTTTGTGTTCAGTGTTAGTTCATGTATGTCTTGAGTGGTTGTTCCATACACAGTTTGTACTACTAGGAACAACGTAAAGAGAACAAATTGCAAGTCCTTTTATATCTTGACTGTGACACTGATGAGCAATGAAGTCACCTGGCAGGTAGATTCTTTCCCTGTTTCCCAAGAAATGCCCCAAGTGTGTGTGAGAGGAACTCTCCAGCTCTGAATTACTAGGAATGAGTTGATTTGGGAGGTTCTTGGTCTGTTGAGTACTGCATTTCTGTGAGTAGGATAGGTATCCCCTCTCAGCTTCCTTGGGCTTCAAAGTTAATAGATGTGGTATGTTATGAAAGCCACACAATGACCCAAGGGGGACACAGAAATTTGCAACTACACCTCTGCTTCTAGGTTGCTCAAAGGCAAATTCAATTTGGCGTTTACATTTATTTGTAGTCTGGAACGACTTTCCAGGTGATTCACATCATATTTATCCAGAGTCACACTACAACATTTCCAGAAGGCTAAATGCCACATCTTTCAAAAAACTGTACCATCCTGCAGGTGGCTTATATGACACTACAGAACTACAGAATGGTTTCTACTTGTCACATGGCAGTATTATGGGGGGGGGGGGTTAAGAAAGAAGCAAGGTAATAAGTTTCCAAAAATTTAATATGTATAATTATGGAATTAGCAGGCTTTGTTTCACAGTTGCTAAAATTACCAATAATTCAATTTTTCTTGTTTCATTATATCTCCCTGTGGAAATCCACAATACTTGTAATTCCTGTGTATACTTTTAAACAAATATACATTTTATATCAATTAAGCTTTTAAAAAAAGCATTCATTGTCTGTGGCCTGAATCTCAACTGAACTTGAACTATGGTTATGCAACAAGGTGGAGGAATCCACCATGGGTGGAGGGGTATGGGAGGGGTGGGGGGAATCCCCAGCGCCTATAAAACTGTACTACATAATACAATGTAAGCAACAATAAAAAAAAGCATTCATTTATCTGACATGGAAAATTACAGAGACAGAGTTTTTCATTTGCTGGCTCACTCCTCAGATGACCACAATAATCAGGGATTAGCCAGATCAAAGCCAGGATCCAGGAAACTCATCTGAGTCTCTCACACGGGTGCAGAGACCCACTCACTTGAGCCATCTTCCACTGCTTCCCAAAGTCATCAACAGGGAGATGAATGGGAAGTGGAATGGCTAGGATTAGAACCATATACAATGCTCCTATTGCAGGTGGTGGCTGCACTAGGCAACAATGCTATCCCCTCACTTGAGTTTTAGAAATTTTTTCTCAATGGTCAGAGACATAGAGAGAAGGAGACACATACACACACACACAGAGCATGAGAGGGATTCAGGAACAGATGAAGGCAGTAATGGAGAAGGAAGATGGAGAGAAAAAGAGAGATCATGCATAGACAAATGACTGTATTATTTACTAAAGTATCAAGGTCAGATCCAAAGGTCTGAAGCCAGAATCCAGGAGCTTTATTCTGGTCTCCAATGTGGGTGGCAAGGACATCAACAGCTTTGCTGTCTTGTTCTGCCTTCCCAGACACACTAACAAGGTGCTCCACCAGAAGCAAGACCTTGAAGTGCTGCTCTCACGTGGAATGACAGTATCCCCAGGCCCATCATACCACAAGACCCAACACTTTGAGAATTTGAACCTTGTTTTTTTTTTTTTTAATTTTTTTATTGTTATTAACATTGTATTATGTGATACAGTTTTATAGGTACTGGGGATTCCCCCCACCCCTCCCATACCCCTCCCCACAAAGTGGATTCCTCCACCTTGCTGCATAACCACAGTTCAAGTTCAGTTGAGATTCCTTCATTGCAAGCATTGAACCTTGTTTTTTGTCTGTTGCATGCACTTTGGTCTAAACTTCCCTTTGGGGACTGGCTACTATGCAGATGTAACTAAGCTCCAACAGAGGTCGCTATTGAGGCAGCTCTAAGCATTCCTTACACTACTTGTTAAGGAAAGACTTAAGAGACAGGGCAGCTGGATGATGAACTCTATAAACCTTTTCTTTGTTTCTACGTTTCTTTTGATTTTAGCGTATGTAAAATGGTTTTCAGCAGCTTCCGCTGAGGTATCTTTAGGAAACTTGGATGTCATAAGGAAGATGCTGTCAAGTTCAGCAAAGGCAGGGTTGTTCTGGCCAACATTCTGTATGAATAATAAGGATTTTGAAGACTCTTCTGTAAGTATTAGAAACTCTGACAGCATTATTTTGCAGGGCATGTTCAGAGGAAGACAGTGAGAGTGGATTCTGAAAACTAGGAAAGCCTGTCAAACATGCAGAATTTGTTCAGTAGAGAGAGTAGTTACCTACAATTTGGAATTTCCAATGTATTTTTTGGGTTCTTGGATGCTTAAACACTTGACCTATTACTGTTCTTGAAGTACCAGGATAAATGAAACCCATTACACAGATTTCATACTATGCACGGACGACAACAGAACTCTCCCTACCTTTAATGCGGCTGCCACGACAAGTGGAGACTCATTCTCCCAATTTAATGTCTGTCCAAACATAATTCTTTCCTTCAGACATAGAAATGAGTCTACGTTGTCAATGTTTTGAAAAATACCCTTTGTCGATGGCCCATTCTGCCTTAAAAAGTGAAGCATCTCCTGCGAGGAATAAAAGGTAAACAAATTACAGGCTGTTTCACAACCGCCAGCCCAGACCATGAACTAGATCTGTGGAGAAACCGATCTGGTGCGTGAATTGACATGGCAAGAGCTGACTGATGGGGAGAAAGGAAATCTGTTTCAGTGCCTCTAAATATATTTTCCAGTCATCCATCCAATCAATGCCCACACACTGAATGGTTTTAAATGCTGATTTCAACTTCATCTTCCCCTTCCAAGAAACCAAACTTTTAAACCAGTTTTCTTCTTCAAGCTTTCAATGAATCAATCTCTATCATCTACCCTACTGTTACTATTTCCAAAAACCTGTTTTTCCCAACTAGCAAGATATCATTGCCACTGGTATTGCCATCAGCCCATCCTTATCTAAATAACTATGGGCTGCATTCTTACATGCTGTGGTTGTCTACACTCATCTAAAACCAGGGTGAAAGTCCACTTAGGACAGAATGCCTTCTTGGACTGCATGCCCATCCTACCAGATTTTCACTGCCTTCTACATCTTAATGCCAATAGGGCAAGACGTATTTCACAAATATCCCAGGGAATTTGTCATTTATTAGGTTCTTTATATTTCATGCCTGCAACATAATGTATTATCTTACTGATACTTTTTCACCCATTGATGACATCATCTTGATGAGGACCCTGGGAGCTCCTTGAACTTGTGAATGGAGTAAGGTCTGGGAGAACATCCAAGAAGGACCTAGCCTGATAAATTCCTTCCGACCCAGGAGACATCTCCTTATGTGCAACAGACACACTGGGCAATCAACCAGTGTGCATGCTATTAAAAATCCTTGTTGGAAATAACAAAGGCCAAGTTCTGTGGCCTTTATTCAACACATTCTCTTATGATACAAGTATGAATACATTTGAGAATAACGTGTTTAAGCATTTGAAACTCAAATCAAACTCACGTGAGAGGGGTTGTATGAGAAGTCTGAGTCATCCAGACAAAGGGAGTAGAGGAACACTTCAAGCAAGAGGCTGCAAATGAGGGGATGTGGACTCGCAGGGAATCAGACATGTACCTTTCTGACACCAGTGAGCAAGTGACCGGATGACACTGCGGAAACCAGTGAAATAGACGTGCCTTTCTGACACCAGTGAGCAAGTGACTGCATGACACTGCGGAAACCAGTGAAATAGACTAGCATTTTTCCTGTTGTCTTTCAAGTAAGACTGCAATTCCTAATCAGATTGTGCTTGTTTTTGAGGTCACAATAAGAGAACCTGTCAGCCAAAGCCAGGGGCTGACAAATGATTGCCACATTTGAAGCAGAGTTGCATGAGGACACTTAACCCCTCAGGATGCTCAGTGCTCAGGAGGCAAATGATCAAAATGACACCTACCAAAATAATTGCTGTAAGATCATTCATTTGAAGCCTAATCGGCTGTGCGGAAAAATCAGTGTCCGGAGACAGGTCGTTCTGGCTTGCTGCAGAGCTCAAGCAAGACAAATAATTTCTGAAAAAGGCTGAAGAGAAAGTGAGGTGATTAGATTACACTATCAATGACAGATTTTCTTCCTACATTTTCCATCTGACAAATTTTTTGAGGGGGAGGTCAGGATTAGAAAAGAGAGAAGCAGAGTCCTTTCCACATACATGTTCATACCATCTGAATTAGCTAGTTGCATCCAAGTGGCATTATGCATTTTCCTCCAAATTACCTGTAAGGTGCCAGGCAAGTGTTTAGTTTACTGAAGAAGATGCCTGAAGCCCATATCAGAGTGCCTGAGTCTGTTGTTTTCCAGCTTCCAATTCCAACTTCTTACAAATCTAGGCCCTGGTTAACAAAATTAAGTCCCTGCTTCTAGCAAACACAACATGAGTAAGTCCCCAACTTCCAGTTCCAGTTCTGCCTCTCACAGCTGTGACATGGATAAGTTCCCAGCTTCTGGGCCTGGCCCTGACCCTGCCAACCACAGCGGTGACATGGATAAGACCCCAGCTTCTGACCCTGACCCTGGCCCTGGCCCGGGCACAATCATGGCATATATGGAGTGCGGAAAAGGACAGGAAGCTTCTATCTCCATGTGTCTTGCTCTTTGTGTCTCACCTCCTAAATTAAGGAATCTACTGAAAGTTAAGTTCAGATATCTGAGGATGCCTTTCAGGCTTAATTCTTCTGGCAGTGATACTTCTCAGGCAGTTTTTGCCTTTGAATCATGAACACCCCACTTTGGACTGTATATATATCCTGCTTAGTCTAATCAGTGGATTCAGGAGTCAGATCTCATTTGAAAAGTTCATGCAGTCACACACACCAAGGCCAGAGTCAGAGGAGAGGTGGACTTTACCACACCCACTGAGTACAAAATGTTGTTACATAATAACAAAAAATCAATTTAGCACACTACCCATAGTCACTTCAGTCCAAACAGAATTGATCTGAATTCAGTGCCAAAACTTTTAACTCTCCTTCAGATCTTCCACCTGAGACAGGAAGTCATCATTTCTTGGACCTTTGGGAGTGATGTGCTTCCTGGTAAAGATCTATTTGCAACGATGCATACGGACACGCCAAGAAATCTTCCAATCACTCATTCACTGCTCCAACGGCCACACATCAAGGGATGTGGCTGAAGACAGGAACTCCATCTGAGTCTCCCACATTGGAGGCAGGGGCCCAGGGATTGGGTGACCCTCTGCTGCCATCTCAGGCACACTGCCAGGAAGGTCTATTATCATTGGAGCAGCTGGGAGTCAACCTGGTGCTACAACAGGGGATTCCAGCACCGTAAGATGCATCTTAACTCACTGTGCCCTTACATCTTCCCCTCAGAAGATAATTTGTGGAGATACCCAGGTTTGTACATGCTTAAGCTTATTGGGAAAATGCATAAGACATCTAGAGCTGACAGAAATTCTAACACTAGAACAAGCATAATCCTAACACTGAGCTGGATTCTGATTTCAAGCCATTTCTCTAAAGCTGGTTCTGTTTCTCATATTCATCCTCCCACACAGGGAAGACCTCGGTGTTAGAACACCTTGGTGCTAGAATACTTTTGTGTTCTGATTTTGTTTTTAGGAATGCAGATATGTGCTGAGAGCAGGTCATTGCATCTAATAAAAGCACTCACCACCTCTACGCTGGGGTTTTGGCTTGTCCCGGCATTTCAGGATAAATTGCAGTTTTCCATCTGCTAAGATCTCTGGGATGGACTCCAGAAGGATATGGGGAGAGGTGGGCTTCCCCGGTACAGACTGATGGATGGAAGTTCGATAATAGTGCTCCTGAATTGTGTATGGGTTTTCATGGCCTAGGCAGAGAAGAATCTCATTTTATATCAGGCTGATGGTGAGAAGTAGAATCAATCACACCGACTGTCAGTGTGGGCACTGCACTGGTGCTACTCAAGCTCCCCTTTGCCTATGCAACAGCATCATGAAAAGAAAAGAACAAAAACAGACAGGTGTCCTATGGAACATAAGGTGAAATGGGGAACTTAAATGACGACATATGTATCCATCATATGCCTGAGGAAATCAAGTTTGATTCCATTTTCATTTCATACCAAAGGAACAAGTCCAAGAAATGGCTTTCATCTGCACCTGAAAAAGCAGGTGTCAAACTTCATCTTTGCTCCTTCTATAATAAAGACCGGTGTATGAAGTCAGAGATCAGGCACCTGTATCTACCACGGAATAAGCAAGTGGCACTTCAGTTTTAAATGGGTGAATAACAATTGCAAGAGGTCGTCTTCATTATGAGAGTATTTTATCTTTTGGGCAAACATAGATATGCAGGGGTTTTTTAGTGCAACTTTGAAGCAATCAATATGTTTTTATTTTCCAGAACACTTACCCATGAGTGGGAATGGGGTGTCAGTCTTGCCATAACGGACCCACAGCTGGTAATCTCTTTCTGAGCCCTTGGAGAAAAAAAGGACTTGGCCTCAAAACATGTTTTTGTCAAAGAATACTTAAACACATACTTCCAGAGCGTCTCTGCATTTCCAAAGAAGAAAGTAACTGGGACTAGTGCCAATGCTATCTGATCCACAATTCTGTTCAACAAAGTGGCCTAAAGGTTAAGGAATCACATTTATGCTACTACACTAACGAAGACAAGTCTACTCCTGATTATTCTTTCAGCCATCGGCAGACTCCTTAGAGAATGGCATGATTTCCTTTTCCATGACCCTGTGCACGTACACTTACTGCCTGCCAAGACTGTCTAAACAAGGTGACACCTGCATGACATCATAAGCTCAGCCATCCAGAAAGAGCAGACACAGGAGCAGAAGGCAAGGATGAGAAAGCAGTTAACCCACCAGCTTCCATTCCCACAACTCTTACTGTGGGGATGGCAGGAAGGAGGGTTCTCAGCTGGAAAAACAGGCCACAAGAACGGGATTACCCACACAACTCTAGAAATGCCACCTGAAACCAGCACACCAACTTCATGTTTCTGTTCAATGTTTTAATTCCTTTCAGGAGGGAGCAAGCCAAAACAAGATTCACAAGGAGTAATCAACTATCGCCTGATGATAGTCTTGATCATTCAGGAAACGTACTACGAAACAAACATCCATTTACATAGGTAGAGCTTCACTGCCTAAAGTTACTCTGGAGGCAGGAAGTTCTAAGGAAACTCTTGCTTGAAGGCATGGAACCCTTATGCTGCAGTGCCTTAACTGGGATGTACAGATATAAATGCGATCCGCTTATCTGTAAATTGAAATTCCTTTTTTTCTGATGAGACTCCAAGCAAAACTCTGGCCATTAAATAAAATTAACCATATTTAAAGTCGAATCCCTGTCACCAACTCCATTCATATAACAACTCACTCTCCTCCAAGGCCTGATTCTTCTTCAGAGTTCACACATATTACTCACTAGACGTCAGAGCAGAGGAGTATGTTTTACTGAGTACACAAAAACTCAGCAAATCGTTCTTCTTTCAAATGTATAACTCACTTGTGCTGCAGTGAAATCATTGGTTTCTTATGCCAAACTCCGATTGCCCTGGCAGCTTTTAGGAGACTTGAATACGTAAGAAAAATCTTGAATTTCAGACAAGTATAGAGCTTTCACAGTTACAGGGAACACTTTCCAGGAACCCATACTAGCAAGTTGTTCCTGATTTTTCTGCTGATAGAATGGCAAGCTCTTCAGTGATAGTGAGGATAGGATTCTGGTGTTCCCAATATAAATGCCATTGCATCTTTCCAGGGCACCATAGGCTTTTAGTGACTTCTCATTTGTGTGGAATTTTCTCTTAGTCTCAAATACCACATATACATATTTAAAATCTGCTAATTTCTATCAGGAAAAACATCAACAATAAAGGCCAAACCGATGCATCTGTCAGGATGCAGTCACTTAAAAATGGAAAGTGATGGGTTAGAAATCAGATAGGAAACTCACTACCCACAACAGAGTGCGTAGGGTTAATCCGGGACACTGGATCTGGGACACTGCCACTGAATCCTCCCGGAATCCTGCTGGTGTGCATCCCAGCACTGGAGGCCCATGTATCTGGATTCCCACCATATACTCAGGAGAATTGGATGAGCGTCTCAGCTCCAGGAATGAGCCCTGCTGTTGCACTAAGCATTTGTGGAGGTTGTCCATGCTAGTGAACTCTCAACTACGTGTGCCCGTGTGTCTGTTCCAAACAAAGTAAATTAAAACACAAAGCATACAAGAGGTGTCTATGCACATTCCCCAGAAGCCAAGCTTTCACTCACACCTTACCTTCACTGAATTGTACAGGCACAGGGCATGTCATTCTCAGGACCAGTATCAAAAGCACGACTCTATTCATATATTTTATGTCAAAATTCACAATAAGAGGATTTTTAGCAGGTAGATAAGATCCTTGAGAACTGTATCACAACACTTGGGTTTCAATTCCACCTCTAGCTTCCTGCAAAGGTACACTCTGGGAGGACCTGAAAATGCTCAAGTAATTGGTCCTTTCAACTACTTGGGGTTCATCAGTTCTATTCCTGGCTCCAGAACATCCTGGTGCACTCTAGCCATCTGGAGACTGAACCAATGGAAGGGGGAATGCTCCCTGTATCTGCTTTTCTCTCATCTTTCTGCTTGCTTCTCTCTCTCCTCTTCTCTGCCTCGGTATGAACTCTGAGTCTCAAAACAAACAAAAAAACCAGATATGTACTTTAGGGATCTCCATGCTGAGATTATGAGACAGAGCGATAGGGTCAGTAGTTATGCAATCAGGGGAATGGGGGTGTACAGAAACAGCAACCCAAACACACATCTACTATTTTCACATTAGGACATTAGAAAGCTGACACAATGCTTTATACCTTTGTGAGATTCAAATTAAAACCCGTGGAAATAGTCATCTGAAATTATACCCATGTTTTATTAAACTATGCCTTCCAGCTCAGGCAAAGTTTAAAATCAAAAAATAAGAGCAATGGCCACACACGAATATCCCTAATGCATTCTACCCCATGATTTCATGTTTCCAGGGGCAATATATATTGTATAAGCAGTTGGTCCCTATGCCTCATAGCACATCATACATACACACACACAGTAGGTACCTATGTACCAGTAGCAACATGGAAATACATTTACCAAAGATCAAAGTTGTTATTTTAAAGCAGTTTTCAGGTTACTTACAGTTAATCCTAGTGCTGGCAATGCCATGTTGATAACATCTTTGATGGTATCTAAATTGTGAGCTGCTAAAATGGCAGACTGTAAAGGAGAAAAGGAGAATATAAACTGGTGATTAGAGAAACATTTCAGCATATGATTACACAATTATAAAATCCTTGACCCTTTGTACCCTAATCAACTAAGATTATTAAAATTTTTTTAAAAAAGGAAACAGATTTCCTGATGTGAATGAGCAGCATTGGCGTTGTATGAATATCTGCAGCGAACAACTTTGTTGAACTATCTTTTTTGTCCTGCAATGGCATTTTGTGTGATCTGACACTGGTATAAAGCACAGTCAGAGTGCACCTGTTGTGCTGGTCACACCCATTCACATACTGGCTAGTGCACCCTAACTTCAGAAATCAAATGTGATCCCACTGAAGCTGCTCCTTCCAACAGCATTCAGAAGATGAGGCAGACACACTGCTCTCCTAAATGCTTCATCCCTTCAGAATTCTATTCAGTTCTGGCAAAGTAGAAGTTAGATGTAACCAGCTCAAAGCAGCAGCTGACCCTGGAGTGGGTCCTGACCCAGAAAGGGAGCATCACAAAGTGACTATCAAGGGGAATATGAAAAACAGGTGGAAGCATTGTTTTCATTAGTGTTCAATTTCCAGGTGAGGGCTGGATGGTGGCTGCACAAGAATATACTTTTATTTTAGGCTTGTGTAGGTGTTCAAGGATTAAAGGGTACACCACACGTAACTGACTTCAGAAAAGGCACATGAGACACACATCTAGAGGGACAATGAAAAGAAATTTAAAAAAAATCCAAATAGGACAAAATATCAACCAAGCAGGCACATCTGGGTTACAGCCTATACGGTGCATGGCAGACCTATCCCTAGTGTGTACATTGCATTCTCTTAAAATATTCCATTAAAATAAATAAAAGTATTTTAATAAACATGAAAACTGGAAATGAAATCATCATCTGAAAGTAGTAAAAATCAAAGGGAAAGATTTATTTCCCAGAATACTGCCTTAGAAAAAGGTTTTTAAGAAATGAAATTTTATGGATATTCAATAGGAGATTCTGTTTCTTAGCACAAGCATTGATTCATCAGATTCCCATTGCTTCATATAATCTTATTTGATATACATGAAGTATTGCAAGTATATCTGAAGACACATTAATACAAGGTTCTTTCATAATGCTCTCACTAACCCTACAACACTCCCAGTTCATCTCCTCTCTTCTTCCCTTCTCCTCTCTTTCTTGTTCACTCCTTTCTGTCACTTTCTCTAGCCCTCCTATCCCTGTGTCTCTCTTTCATTATGGCTAAGTCATATAACTGTAGTTTAAATTTTTTGGTGAAAAGCATACTTACATTGGAAGAATTATTAATATTACTGGTATCGATCTTCACTAGAGTATTCTGCAATCCATTCATCTTCTGGCTTTGGGTGATTGATCTAATAAAATCCATAAAATACACAAATAAGTTAGCTAATAATTCTTTTCAAATCAACCCATGTTTATATACAGAATTCATATATGTGAAAATGTGGCTTGAGTTAGCTAAGACACATGTTTGCAGACTGTGCATGAATTACTATGTTCATACATCTGTAGCATTTTTACTCTTATAAGATGTATCCGTGGAAGACACCTGCATTTGGTCAAAATGCGGGGACGGAAGCAATTCGGGAAAAGAACATGTGGTCATGAAAACAATTTCCATTATATGTCAACTGAGCATTCTTGCCTGCACTGAAGGAACTGACACCACCAACACATGACCTAAAAAGGGTACCAGGCAGTGTTGCTGTGGGACTCATCCAGCACAGCAGCCTGGATTCATGGGAATTTACTATATACTGAGGGCCACGGTTGCTTCACTCAAAAGGTTTTAGGCAGAGAAAGAATGAGAGGTGCAGCTAGAACTCCCTCAACAATGAATATATCCAAGGGAGAGAGACAGGTTGAAGATGACCTAAAGTGTTATTAAGGAGGTATCATGTGGTGGCACCGTTTCCAGACATTATGTTCTCTGATCACAAACTAAAGACACAAAATGTGTATCCTGCAGAAATACCTTTCCAGAAAACAATGCCATTTATCTTTCAATTCCACAGACCTGCAAATAGAGAAGAGGGAGAAAATATTAAACTACGTAAAAAAATAGATTCCATGTGGTTTAGAATTTCAATTTAGATAAATATGTTAGCAGGCATCCGACGGCAACAGCAGCTCAGGTGTAAGTGCTCCTTTTCCCCGCCCCTACGTGTGGGCTCTGGATGGACTCTGCTCATCCACAGCAGAAACTGGGCTGGAACTAAAGCCCGAGTTTCAACAATGGGATGCTAACTCAGTGACCTCAGGAAGGTTTCCACTAATTAAACCTGAGTGCTCTTGTATTTTGAAGTGTTGTCCAAATGAAGAAATTGACCGTGTGGATGGAATACTCAACTCAGAAATAAGGATATAACTTGCAGGGGAGTGGGTGTGTGGAATCCATATTACTGTCATTATTCATAGGAATTGCAGAATTGGTGTGTGTTAAACAAATACATAGGAAACATTTTTCAGAAATATGATGTGTTGAGGAATGTCAGCTCTCCTACTGCTAAAAGACAAATGCTTAAAATCCTTTCTGAAATATCATGGATGTATCTAATATCTAAAGTGAATATCTGCTAAGGATCAAGCACACATGGACTTATAAACTGCTAGCATTCAGAACAGGTGTGGCTAACTACAGATCACAAAATTGAGCACTTGCATGACTGGGTACATTCACCATCCAGAGCATGCAAACCTCTGTGATAATATTTTGTTACAGAGCAATTTCATTATCCCAAGAATAAACTGAACTCAGTAAGCCGCCATCCCAATTCCCCACTGCCACCAGTTCCTGCACCATATCATGTAATTCCCTCAGCACCACAAGCGTCATGCACTAGCATCTATACCTACAAGAGGACTTTCAATTCCCATTTTCACCAATCTTGAGAGGCATGTTTATTTTTGCAGCATGTGTTTTTAACTTTATGTTGATGAAAATTTTTCATTTCATCCAGTGAAAGAATTGAATACACCCAAACAGTAAGATGGTGGACTCCCTGACAATGTCCACACCTACACAGTTGGGAAACACTTCAACAACAGCATGATGGACTTGACTGTTCATGAATCACATCGACTGTAAAACCAGAGGGGGAAATCAATGGGGAAGGCAGGGACCTTGGGGAAGGGCACGGGCAACCCCAGAGCCTGTGTCTATATTATAAAACAAAATAAATTTTTAAATGTAATAAAGAGAGAATGTGAGAGACAATCAGAATTCCAGTTCACCTCCTGATTGTCCACAACTACCAAGTGTGTCTCTGGGAGCTGAGAACTCAATGCAGGCTCTTCCTGTGGGTAGCAGAACCCCAGTGCCTGAAGACATGACCACTGCTTCCCAAGGTCTGCATTAACAAGAAGCTGAAGTCAAGAACTAGAAGTGGAACCCGGGTTTTCCAATGTAGGACAGAAGTTTCTCAAGTGCTAAGCTAAACACTCATTTTGTAATTTTTTAAAATCACTGTTGTTAACCTAGATACATGATCCAATTTTGAAGACATTGCCTGTAATTTGGCAGCTGTATTAAAATGAATAAAGCAGTGTAAGGGGTATGGCGAAATAAATGCACCTCACCTCAAGGCAGCTAATTCAGGTCCTGGCTACTCCACCCTTTCAATTCAGCTTCCTATGAATGCATGTGAGAAGTAGCCTCTGGTGCTATAAGTACTTGTACCTCCCCCACTCACAAGTGAGATCTAAAAGGAATTGTGAGACCTGGAGCCAGTTTGATACAGCCACAGCTGTTAAGGGCATTCAGAAATACACCAGTGAATGGAAAGAAAAAACTTTGACAAAGTAGAAGACACGCAAATGCCATGACTGAAGGCACTGGGACTCAGTGATAATTACAGAATCAGATCAAAATGTTTGTTGGGGATTTAATTATACATCTGTATATTTCCTGGGCTATGCAAAGATGACTACTACTATTCATAAAAAAGTGATATTACAAGATTCAGAAGTGATACTTACAAGAATTTAGCTGTAAAATTCTGCAAAGGCCATCCTAGCTTCAGAGATTTTAATTCAGGACTGTCACCTTGCCCCACAGTATTTTTAGCAAGCCATATGTTGTTAATTGGAACCCGGAATTTGATTTTGAACTGCTTTTTGTACCTAGAGAAAGATTATCAAATGAGATGTTTGTTTCTTAAATGTGATGGGAACAGCTCATTCCCACGTATTCCCCCTTAGTGCACAGTACAAGTGAGGGTCAGATGAGCCACTGCTGGGTGTGTCCTAAGTGAGGGACGACCCAGGGGCACCTACAACACAGATGGGCCACTGCTGGGTGTGTCCTAAGTGAGGGACAACCCAGGGACACCTACAACACAGATGGGCCACTGCTGGGTGGTTTCCTTTCTTAATACTGAGTGCAGTAAGTACACAGCAAACTCTGTATCTTAAAAGACATTACATTTTAAAAGAATTGCTCATTCCCTGGTTATCTATATCTTACTGAATTCAACAGTGTTGGGGGGAGTTGAAAAATCATTAAATACTACATGAATTATTTCCAAATAAGAGAGACAGACTCAAGTCTTGGAATAGCTTTAGTGTGGAAAGATTACAAATATATTTGAATCTCAAGTTTTTAGAGCAGGAGTGGGGAACAGCTGGTTCTCAGGCTGTATGAGGACAGAAAAGTCATTGGGATAGTTTTGTCAAGGCAACTGCAGGCTGGATTCAAAATGCAATAAATTCAGAATTTTTAATGTTGACACTTCAATTCATTCAATGAATGATGCTATAAATATTCAAATGGCCCCTGGCAGAAAAAAAGTTTCTTCATCACTGTAATAACCATAGCTTATTTCAAATTCCCCTTCTTAAGGTCTGGTTCAGACAACGTGCCTCACAGATTCTGGCTAAAGCTGTACTGCTACAGCTGACAGTCTACAGCCGAAACACAACCACAATGCAAAATGCATCTTAACCGAGTGCTCAGGATCAGATAAGTGACAAAAACTGCTCCCATTTTTCTGCTGACAGTCACAGTGTGATCAACAGCTTCAGCCAGGTCCTGGCTGGACACAGGTGTGGCTCAACCCAACTTCACTTTGACATGTTGTCTTCCTCATTTTCAACTCTAACGTTCAAGTGAATTATAGAAGCAAGCAGTGACAAGCCTGAAGGAAGATGCTCAGGATTCAGGGCACAGCAGTGTAGGACTCTCTTAGAGTCCATGTGATCATGCAACACGGGAGACTTCCTGTGGAAAGACCTGTAACATCCTGGGGGGAAGGAGCCTTAGCACAGCAGGGTGAGCAGCTGCTTATGATGTCCACACGCCACTTTGACTTCCAGTCATGGACACAATGCTTCTGATTTACCCCCATCTGTAATGCATGTAGGAAGGCAACAGATGATGACCCAAGTACTTGGACCACAGCAGTGAACTCCAGGAACAGCAGGAATCCCTATAACCCTCACCCACCAGGGCCTCTGGTCGCCGCAGTCAGGCAGTTTGGGGCACTCAGTCTAGAACAGGTGGCTGCTTCACATGCCACAGGCAGTTTAAATGTTGCAAGGACTCCTCTCTGACCCTTTACCTTACTCTGCACCACATCTATCCTCCTATAAGATCACGGTCTACATTTACCACAACCTTCAATTATCTGCTTCCTATTTTATCATATGTCTAAATCCCAAGAAAAGAGGAACCCTGACTCTCCTATTCTTGATTGCATTCTCTACAAGGAAAAGATGCAGAATAAATCCTCACAGAATAATTCATAATTGAGGGAAAAGCCCAGAACATTTGCAGAGACCAAACTAAACCATTCTGTTTACTTAGAGAAAGTACACAGAAATTATTTTAAACCAGGAAAGCATGCTTGGAATGTACCTACCCTTTGTTTGCAATGAGCAACACATCACTGAACAGAAAGGCATGACGCTTCTTGACCTGGTTATTATTGGTCAGCTTCATGGGTCCATGCAGCAGGAGGCGGCGTTGGGTGGGCTCTGGTGAAGTCATGGCTACTGAGCCATCAGGTTGACAACTATGGTTGGGCCTGCTCAACATCAAACATCAGAGCCATGATAAAACAAATGACAGAATGAGCTTTATGCTAAACATTTGGGGTGACCCATGACCAAATTATAGCCTCACTTTCCCAAACAAGGATCTCCAACTAAATCTAATGGGGTTCTGTGTTTTAAAAGTCTGAAAGAGCAGAGATCAGAGACACAAACAGATGGGGAAGACCTCAAGGGAGAATCTAGGGGAAACCAGAAAACAGCATGTCAGAGCAAGAGGTGTTGAGCAAGAACAGAAAGAAAAGGTGGAAGCCACTGGTCACATCAAATGCCGTGGAAGGTGTGGCATGAGATTAGTAGGCACTGGTCATTAGATTCAGTAACATGAAAGCCATTGGTAACCTCGGACAACTGTTGGAGGAGTGACAGAAGGAGTGCTTGCTACATAGGCTGGTAGGCAGAATGTTCCCGCATCAACCCACCCAAAACATAAGTCTTACACACTGATTAGTGTAACCTAGGAATGTGTCAATTGCAAAAAGAGAATACAGATTGAAAAAGTGTAAAAAAAACCCTTCATATAGGGTTGATTGCCCTAGCAGGCCTAAGCTAATCAAATGGGATCTCCAAATCAGAACTGTCATCCAGCATTTTTTTTAAATGATGTTTGTCAAGACATACTTACAACTGGGTCTCCAGTTGGCATGATTATTTGTATAGCTGGGATACATTGATTCTCACTAAATAGGCTGCTCCCCGTCTTATCTAAACCAGTATTCTAATTAAGGCAGTGTGGGAGTGCTAAAAAGCACCAAATCATACTACAAGTATCTAAATTTTCATAACACAAAGCCATGTTTAGATGTAAATTGCTTCAGTTAGGACCATCTCCTAACAGGTGTATGTGGCCATAAAAGTTAAACCCATGGGCCTGGGAATAACACAAAACTCTTTCCTAAACAGGAAAGCTCCTCCGTAGATTGCTTTTCAGGAGGGAACTGCTGCCCATGGAGCTAAGGAATGGTCTCCCGATAATACAGAGCCTGCTCTCAAGGTCAGCAGTGCCACATCAGCAAAACTTGAGTATCCTCCTACCATATCAACAACAAAATGACCAATTACTCTCCATCTGGGTTAGCAAGTTCACAACACTTCCTGGACTACTAGTCAGCTTAGGTGATCACAGGTAGAGGATGAAAAGATTACCTAGAATCGCGGCCCTGCAGACGAATTCCAGGAGTGGAGACCTTTTCGGCTCCTAGAAACATTCCCGTTCCCTATATTCTCCGTAGGGAGAGACGTGGCTAGACTAGCACGCAGATGCTGGGCACACCACTAGGATGAGTGAGGGTTCTGCAGTAGCCAGGCCAGCCCACCACTGTGATGTCAGCGAGTTCTGAGGCTCATGCCATAAACTGACCAACTGACAAACTCACACACCAGCCGCTGTGCTTGGGCCCTGACTTTCGATTCCTCCAATTTAACCTGAGGTAATTATTCCTGCAGATGAAGTTGTAAGAAATATAGATGAATAAACCTCTCATTCAGTTTGTCCAAGTGTCAATATTTCCCTAAAGTATATCACACTATTATTACTGTGTCATTTTCATAGTGAAATTATAAAATACTGTAGATAACAATTAGTATAAGCAACATATGTTTAACCCCATTTCCTACTCTCTGGCAGTAGCATCTGTAAAAAGAAGTTCATGTCACTTACAGCTTTGAAGGTTGAAAGTCCATGATCATGTACCCCCCACTGACTCAGCTGCTCTTCCAGGTTCATAGTCCAGCACCTTCACACTGTGTCTTTGTGTGGCAAGGAAAGAGAGATCAGGGCTCCAAAGCGGGAATGAGGTGGGGGACTCAACCCAGCGCAGTCTATTTTCATTTCTGTCATTGAACTCTGGACTTTCCACCCTAAATGCCAAAAAGAAGAAATGGCATAAAAATGATGCCTTGCTAGCTGCAATATTATTTCAGCATATCACAAACATAAAATACTTATTTATTCTATTTCTATTCTTCAGTTTTTAGACGAGCGATGGACTGTCTATATAGGAGAGAAGGTTGCATAGTGGTCATGGCAGGATCATGGCAATCAGACCATGTGACTGTTGAATCCCTATTCAGTATTTGCCATGTACAGGGCACTGGTAAAATCCACGATTTTATTAAAGTCTCAGTGTCTCCACTCCAAAGCACAGGTGACAGTTAAAGCACCTCAGAGGACTTTCATGAGTGTAAAATAAGAGAATAGAAAACTTAGCAAGCCAACTTGCATTGCACTCTCCTAGTAGCTTCAAGTATGCTTATTGAAGACAGGAAGACAGTCTTTTTAAAATATAATCAACATACTATGGATGTTTGTCCAAGCACAAAGAGAAATGCTAGAGAACACACCACACACTACAGCCCAGTGAGCAATTACCGAACAACAAGGTAGTGTAAGGCACCTTACAGGCAGTGTTTCATTGCCTCAACATCAGCTTCTGAGCAATCTACAAATGGAGAAAACAAAGCTAAGGAGAATTGTGCTGCATGGGGAACCAGAGACTTAAAGTTAGTAGAATGAGGACTGTCTAGTTGCCAATCCACAGTTTTTCTACAAACAAGCAGGTTCCCAGATATAAAAGTGGAAACATGACAGCATGAAATCACACCATGCTCAGGAAGCTGGCAAGATCATATTCCTGACATTGACCTGCAGCTTTTCCACTTTTTGCAGCTGCATATGATGCTCATTTCCACCAACTTCGTCACAGCCTTGATTCTGCACTCCTCAGTCCTAGTGCGAAGCTTACTGCTAACTCTCAGACAGCCAGTTTGCATTAGAACTACCTTTAGAGGCCTGCTACCTTAAGCAGTCAGACCTTGGCATTGAACAGACTGGGAATAGCAACCAGAATACAGCATGTTCTAATCTGTGCTTTCTCTGATGTCCACTCTTGCCCACCTCATGGGCAGATGCAACACTGTCAGCTAGGGCTCCATGAGTCAACCCTTTACACATCTCATGTATTCTGAGTTCCTTCCTGGGCCCTTGCCACTGTAATGATCCTTCCTCCAGCTGGCCCTCTGGATGTCTGTATCTTTGCCTCCACCAAGGAAAGGATCCCCATCAGCTGATGTCAAGTACCATTTGCACACTGCTCTTTACTGCCCTCTGCTGTCCAGAACTACTTGTAATATTTCACCTCCCAGGCTGTTGGCATCAGACTGGTAACTTCATTCATTCACATAATTTGAGATTATGACACAAAACTAATTACATACATGAGCAACATTTAAGAAAATTTTTGAAAAGTCCAAAAACAGATTTAAATTTTTGTGTAATCCTATATAATGAGCACAAATTGCAGAGAAATGAGGTGTTTAATACCTTAAGTGAAAATCATTCAATATCACTCCCAGTAATTGCTCAAGACTCACACACACTGCAAACATTTATATACACTCTTTTTAAAAATATTCATTTTTTGGTTGGAAAGTCTGATATGCAAAGGAGGAGAGATGCAGAGGAAGATCTTCCATCTGTTGATTCATTCCCCAAGCAGCCGCAATGGCCGGTGCTGAGCCAATCCTAAGCCAAGAGCCAGGGGATCCTCCTCCAGGTCTCCCGTGTGGGTGCAGGGTCCAAAGGCTTTGGACTGTCCTCGACTGCCTTCCCAGGCCACAAGCAGGGAGCTGGGTGGGAAGTGGTGCCGCCAGGATTAGAACCAGCACCCATATGGGATTCTGGCATGCTCAAGGTGAGGACTTTAGCTTCTAGGCCCTGGCATCAGGTCCTATATACACTCTTATATCTTAATTGTAAAATGTTTTTCTTCATCAGAAAACTGGTCAAGTTGTTGTATCAATAAAAAATATCAAATGCAAGCATGCTCCAATTGCACTACAGTGGTTTCTGTTCCTATAGTCAGTTAAAAATCCAGAATTCCCCATAAAAACAATCTTCCTAATGAGCTTATTCATCACACTATCAACCTAGTTACCATCTGAAGAAGCTTACTATGATTAAGAGCACATATACAAGAGAAGCACAGAGCAAAGACCTGGCATCAATGATGATACCAGCTCAGAGAGACGCTGCAGAAAATGCACCCCTTGAATCAGCAACAGCATGACTGGCATTTCAAGTTACAGAAAACATTATAAACCTTTCAAATAGGTGGTTTCAATTTTTTTTATAAGTTGCTGTATAATATATGGGATATTTGAATCTCAAGTGCTTAGTGGGTTTTCAGCCTGCAGTCCCACCTCTGATTCCTACAATACCTTATGAGCTGCCTTTAAGCAAGCTTTCCAAGAACCAGCTGGCAACACAAGGAACAAGGAACTGGACGCTGTCTCTTGTCTGGGATTGTGTTATCAAGGCACAGCTTGTAGTAAGAAAGTGGGATTTACTAGTCTCTCAGTTGTTTGACGAACGTGACTTACCTTTATTGCGGCTACTCTAAGTCTTCTTGCCCAATCACAAAGGCTTCCTGCATCTTCACTGGCCAGCAGTGGTGTTTCCAGTGTCTGATTTGATACAGCCAGCGAGCAACTTTCCATTTGCTATGAACTTCGCACCATTCAAGAGGAGACATCTTCTTTTCTTTCCCCAAATGAGCCACGGCCATGATTCTGGCAGGCTCCCTGGAAACAGCATTCACAATGACAAACAGACTATCAACAAAGGTATTCATCACAACATGCAACTTCCTTATTTAAGTTTTACCTAGGACAATCTGTATCTATGTGTTTAAAAGCCATTTTCATAATTATTAAAGCCATTTATTTTATTTAATTATTAAAATATAAAATATGGTAATAACTACACCTTCGCCTGTGTCACATCCACAGCTATTTTTGTCACAAAACTTGCCCCAAGTTAACCTCTGCTAAGGTTGATCTGCATGTAAAAAATACTAGCCTTAAACCCTACAAAGGAAAATGTAGATCACAGCAAAATTCTCTGCCCTCACTGGGCATTGAAGATTTTTTAACAATCTACACAGTATTGCCAGGGAAACTGAGAAATTAAGTAATTACCTAAGGTACTGACATCCAATTTTCTTCCCTCTTTAAAATCAAAAACTGCACTTTTTAAAAGCAACAAAACCAGGGGAAAAGAGAAGTGGGAATTAAGTTTGGTGTACTCCACGTGTTTTAGTCACCATTACTGAAATGACATATTTTAGAAGAAGCCACACTGCTGTGCAGCAAGGGCTTCAACAACCACAGGCCATGCAACCATGCAAGAATTTCTTGTACTGTGCCTTCTGTGACCATAGCTTCCACAGTGCTCCAACCAGACCAAGGTCCAGTGCAGCCACATATATGAGGGTCATTGCCTACCCCTAGTGTGACAGTGCTTCTCCAAGCACTGTGTGCTAGCACACCACCACAGCTCCCTGGCAGTTGGATTATCCTATGCCTGAGCTACCTTGTCCACAGGTTCCGCTAGAATTTGGAGCTACTCAAGCACAAGGAGATACACCAGTGTGTGCTGATCATGCCTGGGCAGGCAGAAAATGTCACAGTGCTCAAGGCCAAGGCACTGGCAAAGGTGCTTCAGGACCTGCTGGTGAGCCCTGGGCCTGGAGCGTGCAGCATCACCCTACTAAAAGAAAGAAACAAAGGCAAACTAATACAACATTGAAAATATCAAACATGAAATATATCATACAGGACATAATGAAATGCAGAAACTTCATACTTGGGAATTACAGGAAAACTTGACTTAATGCCTTTTCAGGGAAAAGAAATCAATAAGGTATGGAGGAGATGGAGCAACTGCTCTGGCCCAACATGTTAAGCCACTGACTGTGATGCCAGACATCCATGAGTGTCCTCAGCTTCAGGTCCAGCTCCTGCTAATGTGCCTAGGAAACCAGTGGAATATGCAGCAGGTGCTTCAGCATCATTCCCCCACACGAGACACCCAAAGACGCTCTTGGTTTCAGCCTGGAACAATAGCAATTGAAGCTGTTTGAGGAATGAATGAAGGAATTTCCAGCAGATTGAATGTATCTCTCATTCTTTCCATTTCATTGATTGTATAATCAATCATTGTTTTCTTAAAAATATAGATTTATTGGTTTGTAACTTAGAGATACAGAGAGAGGGTGAGACAGAGAGATTTACTGTCTAGACTGTCACCAGTTGCCAGGGATGGGCCAGGCAGAAGGCAGGAGCCCAGAGCTTCTTCTAGGACTGTCAGATGAGGCCAGGGTTCCAGCATTTGCACCTCCTTCCACTGCTTTTCTTAGGACAATAGCAGACAGCTGCACTGGAACTGAAGCAGCCAGGATATAGACCACCTCCCATTTGAGAGGCCAGCATTGCAGACCACAGCTGTTTTTAAAGATCTAATTATTTTACTTGGAAAGGCAGAGTTACAGAGGAAGATATCAAGGCAGAGATCTTTCAATTGCTGTTTCACTCCCTAAATGGCTGCAATGGTTGGAGCTGAGCCTATCTGAAGCCAGGAGCCTCCTCTCGGTTTCCCACATGGGTACAGAGGCTCAACAACTTGAGCCATTGTCTGGTTTCCCAGGCCATAAGCAGCAAGTTGCACTGAGAAGCAGAACAGTCAGGACATGAACTGGCACCCATTTGGCAGCCAACTTTAAACAATATACTACAACACTAGCCTTACATAATTCTTAAAGAGCAGACTGCCTACCATCTATTCATTGGGTTCTTCGGGCAGTGTGCTACTCTGTCACACTGTGAATGTCATTCAGGATTCTGGGGCTTATGATGGAGAGCAAGAGATGTCCTTTCACTGGGACACCCCCCCCCCCGAAGAGCCAACATATTTCCTGTTAAATGACTACACTGAAGCAAATAAACCCATTCTGCCTGCTGTAATGTTTCATTCACATGTATCTGACATACTTTTAGATTATGCTTAGTATTCCATGGAGACATATTAAAAGATGAACTAAAGTGTGAGGACTAAACCAGAAATCCACATGCCAGCTCAGTCTTTATCTATAAGGGCTCTTTCTTAAGACTGGACAACAAAACAACAGTACATTTTCTTTATTTATGTACTCAAACTAATCCTTTACTTACCTAACCTCAGTTCTATATTTCCAAATTCAACAGCACAACATTAAAAAAGACTCTGCCCCTTGGCTGTGGCTAAGTTCTTTCAGCTTTGACACTATGTCTTTCCCCCAGATATAGGATCCTGCTCTAGAAATGCCTCCACCTCCACACATCCAGGCTTCACTGCTGAAGTCCTCATCTCTGCCCAGAGACAAGCCCTGCCTCCACACTTACCCTGTCAATTTTCTCCAGGCCAGCCAGAGCCAATCTGAGTATCAGCAAATGAGAGAGGCAGAGCTTGTGTCTTAACCACTACACTACCCTGGAAGACCACCTCAGAAGCACACAACCAGTGTTGAAATGGTTACTGCGACAACCAAAGAAAGTCACGATTACAGCCAGCAGTTGCCAAGCCTCCTCTTTATTTAGCACCAGCATGGCCTCTTCAGCT